AAATGAGTATGAAATCATGAAATATAATCAATATAGGATAAGGAACACTTACCCTAATATTTTCCCGTAAAAATCCCCCAAGAACCATGCTCCAAAAATCCAAAACGAAATGAAGGAAATGACCATTTTTGGTCCTTAAGTTTCTGTCCATCCGTCACTAAAAGTTCATTTTCCGTCACTAAAAGTCTATTTTCCGTCACTAAAAGTCCACACAAAAATTTGCTTGTACCAGCCTTCATTCAATCGATCATAACTTTATGTACAAATGTCCAAATGATGAATGATTTAACTTTCTGGAAACTAGAATCAAAAGACTACAACTTTCATGTTTTGATAATTTTCTGATTCCTTATGAATTGCGAGATATAAGTTTTCTAAGTTGGCTCCACACACCAGAAATTTCTGGCGAACAGCTCTACAACAGAAATTTCCAACAACCCTCTTTGTCCGATATCCATTCCGTTTACCTTCCGAAATCCACCCGAAACCCTCAGGACCTTAACCAAATATACCAACATGTCCTAAAATACAATACGAACTTAGTTGAGGCTTTAAACCACGCCAAACAACGCCGAAATTATGAATCGCACATCAAATCGAATTATGAGTTTTCAAATCTTCCAACTTCTATATTTTGCGCCGAAACGTATCAAATCAATTTCGATTGACCTCAAATTTTGCACACAAGTCATAAATGACATAACGGAGCTATAAAAATTTTCAGAACTGGATTCCGATCCCGATATCACAAAGTCAACCATCGGTCAAACTTCCCAAAAATTCATCTTTCGCCATTTCAAGCATAATTCCTCTACAGACCACCAAATAATTTTTTGAAAACGCCTCTAAGTCCATAATCACCATACGGAGCTATTGACATCATCAAAATTCTATTCCGGAGTCGTTTACTCAAAAGTCAACTCTCCGGTCAACTCTTTCCATTTTAGCTTCTAAATAAGGATTGTTCTTTTAATTTAATTCCGAATCTTTAGTAAATCAAACTCGACCACACCCACGGGTCATAATACATATTGTGAAGCTGCTCGAGACCTTAAGCCACTGAACTGGCGTTAATTCTTAAAACGACAAGTCGGGTCGTTACAGTAAAGAAAAACAGAGCTAACATGCGCAGGTGGATGTTCTTGTCAGGTGTCATTCAGTATTCAGTGGCGGAAATAGAATTTTCACCAAAGGAATTCAAAAAAAATAAATATAAAAAGAATTTAAGAGGATTCAACACTTAATATATATACATGAAAAGAAAATTAACCTTATATATACTGTGTAATTTTTGGCGAAGGGAGCTGAAACCCCTTCCGCTACCTTGCTCTGCCACGGGTGCCATTGATATATGGTACTGTTTAATTTTTATTGTGGATACATATATATGTACAAGAAAAAACACAATCTTTGAGTTCAGTTTGCTGGTGGCAATAGTTATCAATCATTTTTGTGAAATAGCAAAAATAGTCCTTCAATTTCTTTACATATAATAATGCCAATATTTTCTTGATGGAATTTAAGCAGCGCAAACACAGATTTCTACGGTAAGCAAAGTAGCATATTAGCCTCCTTTATTTAGAATCAATACTGTTTCTGGAACTAACGTAGTTACTTAAAAAACTACAAAATGGAATTTAAGCAGCAACACAGCTTTAAGCAGAGTGGCATACTAGCCTTCTTTATTCGCGTAATTCTTCCTTCTTAGAAAATGTACTTCACTAATCCGGGAATATGAATTTCCTTGAAGTATTGTTCCCACTGAATAGTTGTTGGATCAAAATTAAACGTATCATCTGCATTACTTTCTCTTGTTATCATTTGCAACATTTCAACATTGGAATCATTGAAACTGATAAAACAACAGCGGTAATTTGGTATTAGAATATCAATTAAGCACTAAGTTTGATTATTAATAAATACTTAAAAACTGTTAACTATTTGGATGTGTTAATATAAAAAATACTCACATTCCTTTGAAGAACAGGTAGGGCTTGTAGAGTTCAGCTAGTCGAATGGCACGATTGATCTTTCTTTCTAAGTTTGAATGCAAGGTTTTAAAATATTGGCAAAGTATCAAGTTTGCCAACTTTATTATCTGAAACATGTTAAAATATAAACTTAACCAGTGGTAGACTATTAATGCTGAAGTGCATGCCAATATTCATGTATATAAATACCTCTATATTCTTTTTTGTACGTATCTCTCTTGCCTAAGTTTCAGAGTTTTTTGTAAGAAGA